CGCTGAGGGCCGCTCGGGCCCGCTCGGCGTTGGGGGCGGTTCCGGGTTTTTTTGGGGGGTTTTGGGGTGTTTTGGGGTGGTTTTAGGGTGTTTTGTTTTTTTTCTTTTTCGATTTTGGGGTTTTTGGGGTGCTTTTGGGTGTTTTTCGGGTGTTTTGTGGTGTTTTTGGGGTCGCACCTTCTCCACCAGCTCGCTGAGGGCCCCTCGGGCCCCCTCAGCGTCGGCGGCCATTTTGGGGTGGTTTGGGGCGGTTTCTGGGTTTTTGGGGTGTTTTTGGGGTGTTTTGGGTGTTTTTGGGGTGCTTGGGGTGGTTTTGGGTGTTTTTGGTGTTTTGTGGGGGTTTTTGGGTGTTTTTGGCGTGTTTTTGGGGGGTTTTTGGGGTCGCACCTTCTCCACCAGCTCACTGAGGGCCTCTCGAACCCCCTCAGCGCCGGCGGCCATTTTGGGGGTGTTTTGGTGTCGTTTTTTTGGTGGTTTTGGGGTGGTTTTGGGTTTTTTTTTGTGTTTTTAAGGTGTTTTTGGAGTGTTTTTGGGTGTTTTTTGGGTGTTTTTGGGGGGTTTTTGGGGTCGCACCTTCTCTACCAGCTCGCTGAGGGCCGCTCGGGCCTCCTCAGCGTCGGCGGCCATTTTGGGGTGGTTTGGGGCGGTTTCTGGGTTTTTGGGGTGTTTTTGGGGTGTTTTGGGTGTTTTTGGGGTGCTTGGTGTGGTTTTGGGTGTTTTTGGTGTTTTGTGGGGGTTTTTGGGTGTTTTTGGCGTGTTTTTTGGGGGGTTTTTGGGGTCGCACCTTCTCCACCAGCTCACTGAGGGCCTCTCGAGCCCCCTCAGCGCCGGCGGCCATTTTGGGGGTGTTTTGGTGTCGTTTTTTTGGTGGTTTTGGGGTGGTTTTGGGTTTTTTTTTGTGTTTTTAAGGTGTTTTTGGAGTGTTTTTGGGTGTTTTTTGGGTGTTTTTGGGGGGTTTTTGGGGTCGCACCTTCTCTACCAGCTCGCTGAGGGCCGCTCGGGCCTCCTCGGCATTGGCGGCCATTTTGGGGTGGTTTGGGGCAGTTTTGGGGTGTTTTTAGGGTGTTTTGTGGTGTTTTTGGGGGTTTTCAGGGGATTTTCGGGGTCGCACCTTCTCCACCAGCTCGCTGAGGGCCTCTCGGGCCCGCTCGGCGTCAGCAGCGGCGACGCTGCGAGAGGAATCCAGGAGCAGAAACACCGAGAGAGCCGAGCCCGAATCCAAACGGATCCTTCTCTTGGCAGTGGAGCCTGAGACCCCCGGGAGACCCCCGGGATTCACCGTGAGACCCCCGGGACCACCGTGAGACCCCCGAGACACCCTCGGGACCCCCCAGGACCCCCTCAGGACCCCCCCAGGACCCCCCAAAACCCTCCCAGGCCCCCCCAGGACCCCCCAAATCCCTTCCAGGATCCCCCAGACCCATACAGGATCCCCCAAGATCCTTCCAGGACCCCCCCAGGACCCCCCAAAACACCCCCAGGACCCCCCAGGACCCCCACCGTGGGTGCTGTTGGCCTCGGCCGCCTCCACGCTCTGGGTCAGGGACGCCAGGAACGCCTCGGCCGCTTCCTCGGGGGTGTCGAAGGAATTGGGGTCTGGGGGCGGCACAGGGGTCACTGCCGGGACCCCCCCGAGACCATCCGGGAACCCCCCACGACCCCTCAGGACCCCTCAGGACCCCCCAGGACCCCTCAAGACCCCCCCAGGGACCCCCAGGACCCCCCCAGGACCCCTCAGTCCCGCTCCA